ACTTTCTTTCTGGGTCTTGAATGTGGTAGTTGTGTTGCTGTCTATGCAGAAAGCTCTTGGATTTCATCAGACATATCTTAAATTGTGTTCCGAAAATGAACAAAGGTCTTATAAGTTTATAACGACATGAGGGTGCTTGCATCCACCTGAAAGTTCACATAACACAGTGTAATTAAGTAAATTCAACAAATTTGTAAAAATCAGTTATATTTACTCGCTTTTCGTAAGTAGATTCAATGATTACTTTTTACAGTGTAGTGTCTAAAAAATAAGTACAAGTAACGTTAAATTAGATACTAGTGCGGTTTATAGATTAAATGTTAAAACGGCTTGCCATAAAGTGGTTCATTTAGTGGTTTTTGGAAAAAAAATAAAGACATGGATGTTGTGTTCCATATAGCAAGTAAAGCAATACATTTAATCTTAAAATGTCACTTTTTCATCAGCACAGGCAAACAGCCTGTTTTTTGAGAAGATTAATAAATGTTAAGAGGCTATTTCTCTGAATATGGACAACTTGAGGGACCTTTTTAATCATCTTAGTCAATTAGTTTTCTCAGGAAGAAAAAAAAAAATCACAACCTCTTGTCAGTAGAGGTCTGTTCTATTAAATTGTTTTATAAGGAATAATGGTGTCCCTCACATTCAGTTTTTCAATATATATAAGACATAGTTGACATTGTTTTTGGATTAGATGATGAATTACAAACGATGATACACACGCAAGACAAACCGAGATATTTATTTACTCCTATAATGCTACACAGTTTTTGGAATACACATTCATTTTCATTTATTCATTTATACAAGTCATATACACTTAGGATGACTTGAGGGTGAGTAATTTATGGGCTAATTTTCATTTTTGGGTGAACTAACCCTTTAAGTGATCTAAAACAGGCAACTGGTGACCAAAACCAACAAAATCTTTTTTTTTGCTTTCTTTTGAGGATATAAAAATGAGGAAATAAAAACAGAATAACACTCAAATATAAATGATATAAGGTAAATCAAATATGTTGACAGAAATAACAGTATGATAAATATTCTGAATTTTTTTAAAACATCAGGTTGAAGTTTCTTCTCTCACTGCATACTGGCTTTGGTCTTCAGCAGATGGAACTGTGAAATACACACACAAACATGTTTTTATTTTTTAGCTTGTAGAAAAGACTCTGTGAGGGAGAGAGACGGATCAGACAGAAGTTTCACCTCTCGCTCTGTAGCATTTGAAAAGCAGCACGACTGTCGCCAGCAGATACGGACAAGCTGCCAGAAGAGAACTGAGGATGTTGAAGACAGAAATCTGACCTGAACCTGACACTGAAAAACAGATGGACAAGCAAATAGAAGCACATTATTGAACAATATAAGCTCTATATTAAAGGCCCAATTGACATAACACAAACAAAATTGGCTTAACATTATGTCTTTACATGTAACATCAGTGTTTCTTCCTTAACACTAATAGATAATGCTGAAGAATGAAATGTAGGTCTGTAAAATTAGACTGTTATGGCACATTTGTTTGCCTGTATATTGATTTATGAAAATTTATTTAAATGTTAATTAGGGGATACACCAATCTCCTCCTCACTCTAAAAATACTGTACTTGACACGAGCACATTCAGATTTATTCCTAGCTGATTTTGAATGGAAAATAATTTTATTTATGGACAGACATATCTTGACAGAAACGTCACTAAAATGCTTGATCTGATTTTATTTTAAGGCTGTTAAGTGAGTGTAATTACAACACTCTTCATAATGAATTATACGATGTTGGTTATGAGGTGATGATTTCACTTGTAGTTGGCTACAATAATAGCACAATATTAAGTATATTTTGTATATGATTTGATACATTTATGTTTTGTGAAATAACTGATTGCCCATGAATGAAATCGAATCAGCTGACAGTGACTGAACTCCACTGACTCTCACCTCTGACTGAGATCCAGCTGTGCAGTGACTGTCCTCTCTCTGTTTTACAGTAGTACAAACCCTCATGTGACTTTGAGACAGTCGCGATGTTCATCTCTCCTGTTGTCTGATTCTGGACGAGGGACCCGTCTTTATAGAAATCAGCTCTGAGGATCGAGGAGTTTGTGGATCGATGTAAACAGTGTAGAGTCAGAGTATCTCCCTCAATCACAGGATCAACAGAACTCAGCAGAATCACATCACCATCTACACAACACAAGAGATACATGCATGTAGGAAGATGATGGTGACACATATTGTACAGATAAACAAACATCTATTAAGATGAGGAAGGCAACATGTGTATTAAAACAGATCATCTATTATATTTGTCTAACATCTAGTTTTATGTCAATCAACTCACCATGAACAGTAATGTTTAGAGGATGATGTTTCTCTCCAGATTCAGACTGACACCAGTAAACTCCAGCGTCAGATGTGTTGAGGGAGTCGATTCGACATGTAGATCCTGTTAGTTTTGAACAATCTTCTGTGTTTCTGTCTGTGTATCTTCTCACTGTCCATCCAGTAGAGTTACTCTGATCCTCACAGCTCAGAGAGAGAGAGTCAGATGAGAAGTGTTGACTTCTGCTGGGACTGACCACCAGAGACACTGAAGCAGAGACACCTGAAACAGAGATGAAACCCAGTTATGCAGCTTGTGTCATTTGAGATCCACTTACAAAGACATTTCAGATTTTCACATAATGTCTTTTTTTTGTTAAAAAGAACAGCATTTACTTGAAATATAAATATTTTGTAACATCATAAATGTCTTTACCGTCACTTTTAAACAATTTAATACATCCCTGACTGGTGTATCATATAATGTGTCCAATTGATTTATGCATTACTTCAAACAAGATTCAATATCAAAAATCCATTTGCAATCAGTCTATAGATTATTAGATGTTTAGTGAAGACCAAATTCTTCATAAATTGACCTGCTGGTGGCGCTAGCAAAGCAGTTTTTACCAGCAGTTACTACAGGCTGAATAATTGTAGAGGAACAAACACTCTAGATATCTATTAAATTTAGGTTTCTAGTCACTAAACATCTTCACTGTCAAGAAAACATGTTCTAATAATCGTTGACAGGTGTAACATTACAGATCAAATGAGTTTAAAATAGAGATGTTGACATGATTTGACTCACCAGTGATCCACAGTGGCTGTGTGTTACTGTACTTTGTGTAATAGGCTGGTCGTCCTCTCTCTGCTCTGCACGTATAAACTCCTGTGTGCTGTAGAGCAGCAGGACTGAGAGTGTAAGAGCCTCCAGCTCCTCTGCTGCTGTCGGACAGATGATCATCATCTCTGAACCAGCTGAACGTCCAGCCTGTAGAGGAGCCTGTAACCTCACAGATCAGAGTCACTGAGTCTCCTTCAGTCAGCCACGGCTGTGGAGACACTCGCACTGCTGCCTGAGCTTCAGCTGAACAAAACATGAGGAGTTATAGAGCCACAGAGAGACTGAGAGAGAAGCTGTTCACACTGATAATAATGAACAAACACACAAACTCACCTGATACAGTCAGTGTAACAGCATCACTGCGCTGAGAGCTTTGTGTTCCCATCTGTCCTGTACAGGTGTATTTTAGGATGACTTGAGGGTGAGTAATTTATGGGCTAATTTTCATTTTTGGGTGAACTAACCCTTTAAGTGATCTAAAACAGGCAACTGGTGACCAAAACCAACAAAATCTTTTTTTTTGCTTTCTTTTGAGGATATAAAAATGAGGAAATAAAAACAGAATAACACTCAAATATAAATGATATAAGGTAAATCAAATATGTTGACAGAAATAACAGTATGATAAATATTCTGAATTTTTTTAAAACATCAGGTTGAAGTTTCTTCTCTCACTGCATACTGGCTTTGGTCTTCAGCAGATGGAACTGTGAAATACACACACAAACAAGTTTTTATTTTTTAGCTTGTAGAAAAGACTCTGTGAGGGAGAGAGACGGATCAGACAGAAGTTTTACCTCTCGCTCTGTAGCATTTGAAAAGCAGCACGACTGTCGCCAGCAGATACGGACAAGCTGCCAGAAGAGAACTGAGGATGTTGAAGACAGAAATCTGACCTGAACCTGACACTGAAAAACAGATGGACAAGCAAATAGAAGCACATTATTGAACAATATAAGCTCTATATTAAAGGCCCAATTGACATAACACAAACAAAATTGGCTTAACATTATGTCTTTACATGTAACATCAGTGTTTCTTCCTTAACACTAATAGATAATGCTGAAGAATGAAATGTAGGTCTGTAAAATTAGACTGTTATGGCACATTTGTTTGCCTGTATATTGATTTATGAAAATGTATTTCAATGTTCGTCACCAATCTCACCAATCTCCTCCTCACTCTAAAAATACTGTACTTGACACGAGCACATTCAGATTTATTCTTTGAATGGAACTTGACACGAGCACATTCAGATTTATTCCTAGCTGATTTTGAATGGAAAATAATTTTATTTATGGACAGACATATCTTGACAGAAACGTCACTAAAATGCTTGATCTGATTTTATTTTAAGGCTGTTAAGTGAGTGTAATTACAACACTCTTCATAATGAATTATACGATGTTGGTTATGAGGTGATGATTTCACTTGTAGTTGGCTACAATAATAGCACAATATTAAGTATATTTTGTATATGATTTGATACATTTATGTTTTGTGAAATAACTGATTGCCCATGAATGAAATTGAATCAGTGACTGATGACTGAACTCCACTGACTCTCACCTCTGACTGAGATCCAGCTGTGCAGTGACTGTCCTCTTTACAGTAGGGATCGAGGAGTTTGTAGATCGATGTAAACAGTGTAGAGTCAGAGTATCTCCCTCAATCACAGGATCAACAGAACTCAGCAGAATCACATCACCATCTACACAACACAAGAGATACATGCATGTAGGAAGATGATGGTGACACATATTGTACAGATAAACAAACATCTATTAAGATGAGGAAGGCAACATGTGTATTAAAACAGATCATCTATTATATTTGTCTAACATCTAGTTTTATGTCAATCAACTCACCATGAACAGTAATGTTTAGAGGATGATGTTTCTCTCCAGATTCAGACTGACACCAGTAAACTCCAGCGTCAGATGTGTTGAGAGAGACGATCCGACATGTAGATCCTGTTAGTTTTGAACAATCTTCTGTGTTTCTGTCTGTGTATCTTCTCACTGTCCATCCAGCAGAGTTACTCTGATCCTCACAGCTCAGAGAGAGAGAGTCAGATGAGAAGTGTTGACTTCTGCTGGGACTGACCACCAGAGACACTGAAGCAGAGACACCTGAAACAGAGATGAAACCCAGTTATGCAGCTTGTGTCATTTGAGATCCACTTACAAAGACATTTCAGATTTTCACATAATGTCTTTTTTTTGTTAAAAAGAACAGCATTTACTTGAAATATAAATATTTTGTAACATCATAAATGTCTTTACCGTCACTTTTAAACAATTTAATACATCCCTGACTGGTGTATCATATAATGTGTCCAATTGATTTATGCATTACTTCAAACAAGATTCAATATCAAAAATCCATTTGCAATCAGTCTATAGATTATTAGATGTTTAGTGAAGACCAAATTCTTCATAAATTGACCTGCTGGTGGCGCTAGCAAAGCAGTTTTTACCAGCAGTTACTACAGGCTGAATAATTGTAGAGGAACAAACACTCTAGATATCTATTAAATTTAGGTTTCTAGTCACTAAACATCTTCACTGTCAAGAAAACATGTTCTAATAATCGTTGACAGGTGTAACATTACAGATCAAATGAGTTTAAAATAGAGATGTTGACATGATTTGACTCACCAGTGATCCACAGTGGCTGTGTGTTACTGTACTTTGTGTAATAGGCTGGTCGTCCTCTCTCTGCTCTGCACGTATAAACTCCTGTGTGCTGTAGAGCAGCAGGACTGAGAGTGTAAGAGCCTCCAGCTCCTCTGCTGCTGTCGGACAGATGATCATCATCTCTGAACCAGCTGAACGTCCAGCCTGTAGAGGAGCCTGTAACCTCACAGATCAGAGTCACTGAGTCTCCTTCAGTCAGCCACGGCTGTGGAGACACTCGCACTGCTGCCTGAGCTTCAGCTGAACAAAACATGAGGAGTTATAGAGCCACAGAGAGACTGAGAGAGAAGCTGTTCACACTGATAATAATGAACAAACACACAAACTCACCTGATACAGTCAGTGTAACAGCATCACTGCGCTGAGAGCTTTGTGTTCCCATCTGTCCTGTACAGGTGTATTTACCGCTGTGAAAGTCTTTAACACTCCTGATGTTCAACTCTTGTGTTGAGATTCGGCTGACAGAGTTTGTATATTGGTAGTTTGTTCCCTCTGTTTCCCATCTGTACGTCCACTCAGTGTCTCCTCCCCACTTTATATCACATCTGAGAGTGACTGTTTCTCCTCTGAACACTCGTTCATCAGGCCGTACCGTCACCACAGCTTTAGGACTCACTGTACAAACACAGATTATTGCATTAATTTTAGATTCAAAGTTTTAGATGTTCTGTAGATATTGTCTCTGATCTGTATGTTGTGTCAGATACTATGTTTTCTCTCACCTGTAACATTCACCCACAGTGCATCACTGTATTGTGTGTAGTAGACTGGTTCCCCTCTTCCAGCTCTACACCAGTACTGGCCTCCATCAGACACTGAATCAATCTTCACTCTGTAGTAGTTTGTTTCTGTCTTTGTCTCAGAGTTCAGTGTGTGTGTGTACCAGTAAAAGTCCCATCCAGGGGACAGATTCATGCGACAGGACAAAGTCACTGTGTTTCCTGTCAGTGCAGCTCCTGCAGCATCTGACGTGAGTTCAGGCTTTGGTTTCAGATCTGCAGGAGAACAAGAACAAATTCAGAGCCTGAAAAATTCAGAAGTGTTAGACAAATCATTGATTATTTGTCTGCATCAGAAAAATAATTCTGACGTCTATGCATCCTGAAGATATAATAATAAGCTTCATCTGTATATAAGCAGGCATGTTTGCCCAGAAAATAAAACATAAATGATTATGGTTACATTTTACTTGTTTGTGCACAAAATACTGAATAGTGAACTTGCTACTGAGGCTTCATATGCATATGCAGTTCTGCATCTAAAAGTTAATTGCTTCAGGCTTTAATAAGAACAGATGTGGCTGATACGGAAGAATATAAGAAAAGTGTTGAGCCACAAATACTGTTAAATGAACATTAAAACAGATGTGAATCTGAAGACTCACCTGATACAGTCAGTGTAACAGCAGCACTGATGTCTGATCTCTGTGAAGCTGATCTCTCTCCTCTACACCTGTATTCACCACTATTATCAGACACATAATCAGCTCTGAAACTGAACTCTGCTGTTCTTGTTGTTGTTCTGTATGGATAGAAAGTGTTTCCATCTTTAAACCAGCTGTATGTCCACTGAATGTTTCCTCTCTGTATGTCACATGTGAGAGTGACTGTCTCTCCTCTGAACACACGCTGATCTGGAGTCACCTTCACTACAGGTTTTGGTCTCGCTGTATTAATACACATATGAGTAAATATTGATGAAACAGCATCGCAGTATCATGATCACTGTTATGAACCTCGTAATGAGAAAAACACTGCATTAAATAAATATAGTTGGCTTGTAGTATGTATTGATATTTACATATTATTACATATTTACAAATATTTACAGTACATAATTTAAGACTGCAATAAACCTTTAGTATAACTAGTCAAGCAATCTTGTGGTAAATGTGCAAATTGATCCAGAGAGTTAAATCAGACTATCTTTTATTTAATTCACATTTATTTTGAGCTTATAATTGGACATTAAATAACTGAATTAACAGGCAGTGTGTTGAGGTCATCATTTATCATTGCATAATGCATTCTAAAAACTGAAATAATAAACAGTATGAAATGTACAGTATGTAAAATACTGTGCTGAAAATACAATACAGAATATAAACTAGTGCTGTATTCAGTAAGCATTTCATTCTAAAAAATAAAAACAATGATATTCAACTCACCCGTCACAGTGAGAATCTCTCTGTCCTCTACACCAGTACTGATCCTGATCAGACTCAGTAGCTCCTCTGATAGTGAGAGTGTCTCTGTTTACAGTGTAACGCTCAGACGTCTGTAACATTACACTATATCTGCCTTTATACCACTCATATCTCCAGTCAGGTGTCCAGTCAGTCCAGCCATAAATCCTGTCATTTCTCCATCTCCAGTCACTGTAAGACTCAATCACACACGTCAGATCGACTGTCTCTCCAGTGAATACAGGACTGTCCGGTGTCACAGTCAGTGTAGATCTGGGTGAATCTGTGAACATTACATGTTAGATAACTTAAAAAGTACAGTTCATTACTGATTATAAATAACATGATACAAATTTTATTTAATAATATAATCTAGTAGATAAAAAATTGTAGGTAATGCATTCTGACTACTTTTTGATTACTTTTGACCTAACTCGTTTATCGCATTGATTTGAACAAGATTATTTTGTACCATATTGCTATATCATATCATACCATACTATATATATATTGCATTTTTATTTTTACATTCTCTTTTTTTGTTTTTATTATTATTATTATTTTACCTCACAGATCTTGTATCAATTTGGTAGCTTTAGATGTTGTTTAAAAAAAAGGGCCAGGTCTTATAAGAGAACAACATGATAACTATAATATTTACAACACCAAACACTCGACACAAAACAAAATCATGCATTGCACTCTTCAGAATATTCAAGCCACGGTTGTGACTGATACCAAGCGGCCAAAGCATCTCTCTCTCCCTCCAAAAACAGTTTGGGGTATGATTTCAGAACCATCTGGTAAGAATTTATCCTGTTTAAACCATTTGGGACAGAACTGCTGAATTTTTGATTGTGTGTCATTGTGTTTTTGACGACATCGGAAGCTGCTGATGAACTTGATTCATCTATTTCTCTGACCCCATGGATAAGTTGGTAGATGTGTTCTTATGAGCTGAAGTGGTTTTCTTTTGTCTTTTCTGAACAATACATTTGTAAACATTGCGTTTTGTTAGGGAAAAAAAGTTACATTTGTTTAGAGAGCATTTTCTATACATGCAGTATAGAAACAACTACAAGTCAAGCTGCGATACCACACACGACCACAAGGAGATGCCAACAGACCACTATACCAGTCGCCTTAAGCTGTCTGTATATATAAGTATATACCGATCCATTCAGAAATATTAAACGGAGCAAAACACAAATTTAAATCACTCGACTATGGTGATCTGTAGGCAGCTCGACACAACAGTGAACAGTTCCTCTGTCAGTGCTGATGCCCATATGTATATAAACACCATTGAACATTGCAAACTTCTATAATAACACACTTTTTCAGCGAGTGTCCATTATAAAACACTTGCCAGACATGCGACTGTACTGAAATGTACTCGTGCAAAAAACTATCCGAGAGCGCACATACACGGTCTGTTTGTTTGCACATTAATAATAATGCGTGTCTAATAATGTACGACTCCTGTATGTCACTAGGCGCGTTTCCATTACAGATTTGCGCAAAACTTTTGTGATATTTTATGAATGTCGAAAAAAGTATTGCGAAATGACGGCGTTTCCATTAACCAATGCTATGCGACTAAAACGTAACCTTCTCGCGATAAGTCATGGCAACGGTGTTTGGTGGGATTTGATGGATTTTGGCTATATTTATTCAAAGGAAACGTATGCGTGTATCTTTACAGAAGCAGCACAGAGAGCCGCTTCAGAAACGTGCGCGGCGTGGAATAAACACAAGCACTGACTAGAGTGGCCGTATCAGAGCCACACTGCACCGCAGACGTTTACAGTGTAAATTGTCTAAGCATTAATGGCATGGAAAGCCCCTTATACTGGAGAGCTGCCACGTATTAAGTGTTTCTTGGAGGTTATAGTACATTGAAGAATGATCATATGACTTTTTACATACGCCATTTGACCTGTAAATGCGAAAAAAACGTTTCCATTGCAGTTTTGCAAATTATTCCTTTTTCGCATTGCCTGAAAAACCACCTCATGCGAGCGTAAACTTTTTTGCGATTATATGGGCGTTTTTGCGAAATTGACGCGTTTCCATTAGGCGTATTTTCAATTCGCAATTTCAATTTGCGCAATTTGAAGGGTAATGGAACAGCCTATATATGAGAACAGTCAGGCCGATTCTCGGCCAGAGTGAAATCGCCCAAAAAGGTGCGGTACTCAACAGAATGTGACTTGACGCTGATTGGCAGTCTAGAACAGTGACAGCTGTGATAGAAAAAGAAAGAAAGAAAAAACAATTGCACTTTTGCACTTTAGTGGTGCGTCGCCCAATCGCCCTAATGAAGAAACCACAAAGTATATATGGGCTCAACAAATAAAAAAAAAAAAAAAAAAAATATGGAGCTCAATTGAATAATCGCACCAATGTTGTAATTGGCTGTTATGTGGTGTGGGGCATGGAGCCAGGCCAAGTCCTCTTCTAAGAACAGATGTGGCTGATACAGAAGAGTATAAGAAAAGTGTTGAGCCACAAAAATAGATTTTAAATGAGCAATAAACAGATCTGAATATTAACACTTACCTGATAAAGTCAGTGTAACAGCATCGCTGATGCTCTTTGCTTCACAGCTGTATTCACCACTATTATCAGACACAGATGTGATGGTGTAGACTCTCTCAGTGGTGTCTGGGATGGCTTGACCATCTTTAAACCAGCTGTATGTCCACTGAATGTTTCTTCCTCTCTGTATGTCACATGTGAGAGTGACTGTCTCTCCTCTGAACACACGCTGATCTGGAGTCACCTTCACTACAGGTTTTGCTTCCACTGAGTTAATACATTTAAGAGTAAATATGCATACATTAAAAATCATTACCTGTTATGCTTAAACTGAGATATATCAGATTTGATATATGAACAAGTTATTTACCTTGAGTGAGTCCAGAGTGGCTGCATAATAGCATCAACACTAAACATAGCAAAAAATACAGAAACAAAGCGATAGATAGATAGATAGATAGATAGATAAATAGATAACTGTTGAATGCAAAAATATGAACATTTGGGTTTAATTCAGAAAATGTTTTATTTATTTAATGATGAAATTTTAGATAAGCATCCTAATGTTAAATTATACTCTTTTTTTTTTTCTCACCAGTCCACCATTTATATTCCCGCATTACTTTTTCTCCCCAGTAATTCAATCATATCAAATATTTCTGAATCAAAGATCCATCCAAAAGTCATTAGTGATCATGCCCCAGTAACATTAAAATAGAATAGAATTAGTCCACATTACTAGATGGCGATTTAACACATCTCTTCTGAAAGACCATGACTTTGACAGTTATTTTAAAAAAGAGTGGGCATGCTTTCTAGAGATTAATGACTCCCCGGAATCATCTCCATCTCTTCTGTGGGAAGCAGGGAAAGCAGTACTAAGAGGAAAAATATTTTCATTCTCAGTTTACAAAAAAAGGAAAGAGAAGGAACAAGCAACTGGAACAAAAAAAATCGAACAACTAGAAGACATTAACATAAATAACCCAACAGATGAAACACAGGATACATTAAGAAAATATAAATTTAAATTAAATGAATTAATCAATAAACATGCCCAATTCCTAATTCATAGGCAACATTTTTATAGTAAATTATATTCCTCTGAAAGAGACCCGAATCAGAAAGACATCAATTCATATATCAACCTACCTCAACTTAGTAAACATCAAATAAGTTCTCTTGTATCCCCCTTAACAGAACATGAACTTTTTAATGCCCTTAAACTCATGCCGAACAATAAAGCACCAGGGGTCTCATTTATAAACGTTGCATACGCACAAAATGGGCATAGAAATTGCGTACGCAATTTTCCACACACATATCGGGATTTATAAAAAATAAAAAATAATAAAAAATGAATGTCCGTACGGACATTCTAGAGTCTAGACCATGCGTACGCACTCTTTTTTTCTGGAGTGAGAAAAGTAGTGAAGTTTTCATTTCGATATCCACATTTTCATTAAATATTCCACTCTCATTAATGGAGATAAGCACTGAAATGACATAAAGTCATTATGCAGAAGTTAAACAAACATTATATGAATTTAGACATATTTAGTGGATGCGCTTGATCACTTTTCCTGTGGCATGCTATTTTAATGACAGCGAGGAGTGCAATAGGTGCACAATAATTCATCTTTAAACTAAACTGCAGATCTCATGTTATGAGAAAATATTTTAGTGAGAACAATGATCAATGATGCGAACTTACTTCGATATTATGGCAGACACTGCTGTATTCAGAGGTCGAACGGTCCATTGCCCGGTTTGAATAGGTCCAATGATTATAGCTTACTGTACAACCACAGCTGCACAGGAGGTGATGATTTCATGTGAAGGCATCTCCACAACATTATGAAAAATATCACTGTATTTGAAGGATACAACTTGAAGAAAATGGTAATTTGCATGTTTTCTTTTTAAAATGGGCTACGTTGTCAGTGTGACACGCCGAGTCAGACAATTCTATTTACACTGCAATAAATATAGGCTAAAAATAGCTAAAAGATGTTCACCTTATCAGCAAAACTGCATAAGTTAAATTTGATTTGAATTGTTTAAAACAATTGACATACTATTTGGGAAGAGGAAATGAATGACATCAACTCTATTCTAGAATAATTATCTGAGAACTATTTTAAACAGTTTTGTTTTTTATGGATTTTGATATTTATGCTAAAACATAACAAGGAAAACCCCTAGAGGACGCAGTTCGAAGTTCCCATGAAAGGGAACTGGATGATTTTTAGCAATAAAAATTGTGTATGGCACAAATGTCATGTATAGTCCGTATCTCATATTTCCTTAATGTCTTGTACCTTTAACAGTGTTAAATATGGTGTCAAGTAGATGGAAATATGCATGGAAATGACATGCAGATGAAGTTATGCATAGTAAAACTAGGCGTTGTAAGCTCCATATATGGTGATTTCGGGGAGGAGTCGGGGTGGAGATGCACGTATGCACAATCTTCCCCTAACTGGGATTTATAAAGGGATTTTTGCGCAGGTTCTGGCGTATGCATGGTTTTATAAATCTGAAAACTTTTGTGAGTAAGCAAAATCTAGCTTTTGTGCATACGTAGACTTTTTGTGCATACGTACACGTACACTCAGTTTTATAAATGAGACCCCAGGTCCTGATGGATTCCCTGCTGAGTTCTACAAACACTTTTGGTCCATTTTATCACCACTTTTCATCCGAATGATAAATGAATCAAAACAAAAATCAAAACTCCCAGATAACATGAACACAGCCACAATTTCACTTCTTCTCAAACCCAATAAAGTCCAAACATTACCGTCAAGCTATCATCCAATTTCCCTAATCAAAATCATCGCCAAAGCACTAGAATGGAAAAAGTCACACCATGTATAATTCATCCAGACCAAACTGGTTTCATTAAAGGTAGACTTGCATTCAACAACACGCAGACTTTTTAATGTAATGTATTATTCGTCAATTAAAAAAGCCAAAACCATCATAATCACTCTCGATGCAGAAAAAGCCTTCGATAGAGTCAACTGGAAATTCCTGTTTTCCATATTAGAGAGGTTTGGTTTTGGAGAGTAATTTATTAACTGGATTAAAATTCTGTATACATCACCTTCAGCCACTGTCATCACCAATGGACTAATATCACGTAGCTTCACACTGCACCAGGGGGACTAGACAAGGATGCCCACTCTCCCCTTCACTACATTTACCATTTTCATTGAACCGTTAGCAGCAGCCATCCGTCAAAACAGCTACATTAAAGGAATTCAAACACTAAATATACACCACAAAATAAGTCTTTACGCTGATGATATATTACTATATTTACAAGACCATCCGTCATCATTATATTATATATAATATTTCTTAATACTCAATCAACTGGAGTAAATCTGCTATACTTTCATTACGTTCCAACAGCTTGGGTGTGATATCCCAAACACCACCTATTCCTCTGTTCACCAATTACATCACATATTTAGGTATTAATGTTTTGCCTGCAGGCTGTCAGAGCTGTTTGGACTCAACTACACTCCATTACTTAAAACAATAGATGATGATCTTCAACGCTGGATGAACTTACCACTATCTATTATGGGCAGAACATCAGTAATTAAAATGACTTTACATACAATTTACATTGACTCCAACACAACCCACCCTTACCTGGTTTAAATAGCTAGATTCAATCATTACCAAATTCTATTAGAAAAACAAGACCCCAAGACTTAAATTGACTACCAGAAACCAAAAACAACAAGGAAGACTGGAAGCACCACATTTCTACCAATACTTTCTGGCCAATCAGCTCCAAAATATATACAAATGGATTCACCATAACCCATCAGAAAGCACATGGCTAGATGCTGAACATACAATTTGTAAGGACATTAACATTTCAGAATTACCCTTCTACAATCAGACAATCAAAAATCATCACTGTTTTAAAACGCCAACAATAGCAGCAGCTCTGACAACCTGGTGGAAATTTCATCAAATAACAAACTTGCACCATCTAAATACACCCTGATCTGGAATAGCCCAGATTTTATAGCTAACAAGAAGCCACTCAACTTACGCACACGGGCAGAAAAGGGCATTATACAACTTCAGCATATCCTTCATAATAATAACCTGGCACCATTTTCACACTTGGTCCAGAAATACGGCATTGGGAGTAACTGTTTTTTGGAATACTGACAAATCAAAACATAAATTCAACCAAAAATCAACACTCGGGCAATTAATCTAGAGCTTTCCCCTCCAATTTCAGAGCTATCAAAAAATAAATAAAAAATACTCTCCAAAAATATACAGAATGATATCAAAATCAGACAACACATTAAGCCTACCAAATGCTAAATGGGAATCAGACTTATCCATTACTCCTGATGCTGCTTTCTGGACACAAATCTGCAAAAATATCTACTTCATGACAAAAAAATGCCAACCTGCAACTTATACAGTATCAAGTACTTCATAAATTTCATCTAACAGGACGGAAACTATTTAAAATGGGTTTTACTTCAAAAACATGCTCACATTGTACACAAAATACCCCAGACACCTACTTTCATGCCATTTGGCATTGCACCTCAATTAAAAAATTCTGGGAAAAACATTACTGACTCACTATTCAACCTTATGGGATGTCACATCCCATTGTCTCCCTCCCTCTGTATATTAGGTGACATATCCATAATCAATTTAAACAATACAAACTGTCAATTACTCCTAGTGGCTCTAACTATCGCCAAGAAAAACTATCCTCATGAACTGGATATCAAGGAATACCATACATATTACATCTTGGAAAAAGCCATAATGGATAGAGATAGCTCTCACTTTTTCCTTGGAAATGCACGCTTTAAACAGAACAGTCAATGAAGACGAAGAAGAGAATGATGTGTGCTCCCGGCGCCTATTTATACTATAGTCGCACCGGTAGTGATGTCATGGCTGTCGCCGGCCAACGAGTTGGTGTTTTTTCAATGTATGCTTCAGACACGGGTCACGACGAGGCGTTCCCCATAGAGACCCCTAGAGGACGAAGTTCGAAGTTCCCATGAAAGGGAACTGGATGATTTTTAGCAATAAAAATTGTGTATGGCACAAATGTCATGTATAGTCCGTATCTCATATTTCCTTAATGTCTTGTACCTTTAACAGTGTTAAATATGGTGTCAAGTAGATGGAAATATGCATGGAAATGACATGCAGATGAAGTTATGCATAGTAAAACTAGGCGTTGTAAGCTCCATATATGGTGATTTCGGGGAGGAGTCGGGGTGGAGATGCACGTATGCACAATCTTCCCCTAACTGGGATTTATAAAGGGATTTTTGCGCAGGTTCTGGCGTATGCATGGTTTTATAAATCTGAAAACTTTTGTGAGTAAGCAAAATCTAGCTTTTGTGCATACGTAGACTTTTTGTGCATACGTACACGTACACTCAGTTTTATAAATGAGACCCCAGGTCCTGATGGATTCCCTGCTGAGTTCTACAAACACTTTTGGTCCATTTTATCACCACTTTTCATCCGAATGATAAATGAATCAAAACAAAAATCAAAACTCCCAGATAACATGAACACAGCCACAATTTCACTTCTTCTCAAA